CTTGGGCGGGTAGCCGAGCGAGCCCCGCCTGGCGGGGGACCTCGGAGAGGGCCTGCATGGGGGCGCAGCCGAGCGAGCCCCGCCTAGCGGGGGACCTCGGAGAGGGCCTGCATGGGGGCGCAGCCGAGCGAGCCCCGCCTGGCGGGGGACCTCGGAGAGGGCCTGCATGGGGGCGCAGCCGAGCGAGCCCCGCCTGGCGGGGGACCTCGGAGAGGGCCTGCATGGGGGCGCAGCCGAGCGAGCCCCGCCTGGCGGGGGACCTCGGAGAGGGCCTGCATGGGGGCGCAGCCGAGCGAGCCCAGCCTAGCGGGGGCCTCGGAGAGGGCCTGCATGGGGGCGCAGCCGAGCGAGCCCCGCCTGGCGGGGGACCTCGGAGAGGGCCTGCATGGGGGCGCAGCCGAGCGAGCCCAGCCTAGCGGGGGCCTCGGAGAGGGCCTGCATGGGGGCGCAGCCGAGCGAGCCCCGCCTGGCGGGGGACCTCGGAGAGGGCCTGCATGGGGGCGCAGCCGAGCGAGCCCGCCTGGCGGGGGACCTCGGAGAGGGCCTGCATGGGGGCGCAGCCGAGCGAGCCCCGCCTGGCGGGGGACCTCGGAGAGGGCCTGCATGGGGGCGCAGCCGAGCGAGCCCAGCCTAGCGGGGGACCTCGGAGAGGGCCTGCATGGGGGCGCAGCCGAGCGAGCCCCGCCTAGCGGGGGCCTCGGAGAGGGCCTGGATGGGCGCGCAGCCGAGCGCGGTCCGGCTGCGGTACCCCGAACACTGTCGGCAGGCACGTTTCTGGTCGCGCTGGTGAGCACCGCGCGGCGGCCTCCGTCTCGGGAGAGTGGAGCCGTGACCGATGACACTGTGTGCCGAGCGCGCCTGCTGCGTTGTCTGCTCCCACGCCACTGATTGGCCAGTGGGGCGGGGCCCGCGAACGCGTGAGCTCCGCCGGGATCAGCGGGGCCGCGCGGTGCTCAGAACACGCGCCGGATCAGCTCCGGTACATCTGGCGCCGGCTGATGTATGGGCGCGTGGGAGCGCGTGTAATGTCGCAGGTGTGCTGCATGTATTAAGTGCTTGTGACTTACGTTAGCCGGGCGATGCGCTCGGCTAGCGTTCGTAAAGGCCATCAGTGATTACTGACCACGGTTGCGGATGTTGTTGCTGTCGATATTTGGCAATTATTTTCTTGCGCCACACTTAGCATGGGACTGCTCAAACGTCTCGTCGTCAGTGACAGTGACATGACAGATGCGTGATTTGCTGGCGGGATTGTGGGTATGTGTCAGCTGTTTGAAAGGTCACCACTGGTGCTGACGGCCCTGTCAGTTGGTCAGCACTGATCAGCCTGCAGAACGGACTTGAAGCCAGCCAGGCTTTGCTCTGGCGCTGTGACGGCTTTCATTATGAAGATCTGTGGCAAAATGCCCTGATATCAGCAAGGTTCAGGGTCGTCAAATTGAACAATACGGCACACATCCGTTGCTGCTTTATTCCGACTGCCGGCACCGTGATACCCAAACCTAACGTCTCTAGTTCGGACGCGCTCCGCTCCTATCCGACATGACCAGAGCGCGCTCAACATTGCTTCAGCCCCCATCAGGTAGCTGGCACGGCTCCGGCTTGGTACACGCTGAACTGCGGCGGCGATGCTGCATCATGCGATGGCTCCGCCGCAAGCGCCGCTCTCCGGTCACAGCGCCAGCACCCGGCGTGTCAGGTTACCAGCCCTGTGGGCTGGGGCGTCTCTGCCGGCTGTCGCTCCCGCCCAGGCCCCCCCCCCCCCCCCGCCTCCATTCCGCCCGAGCCCCCCGAACCCGCCCGGGCCGCCGTCGTGACGCGAGGCTCCGTCCCAGACAGGCATCGCTGCTGACCGCTAGCATGTGGTCCGGCGGGGTGACAAACCGCCTTGCCCCCACCCCCCCCCCCCCCCACCCCCCGGACGCCACAAGGCAGCGGTGGCCGCCCGACAGCTGCCGTCCGCGCCTCTGTGTCCATCCCTGGTGGCCGCCCGACAGCTGCCGTCCGCGCTGCTGTGTCCGTCCCTGGTGGCCGCCCGACAGCTGCCGTCCGCGCTGCTGTGTCCGTCCCTGGTGGCCGCCCGACAGCTGCCGTCCGCGCTGCTGTGTCCGTCCTCGGTGGTCATGCCACAACGTTGGCTGCTGGTGGGGTCGACAGGCAGTCATTTGATGCAGACAGACCGGTTCGGTCGGGCCAGGTCGGCCATGGCGCCACGCCAATCCGGCAGGGTGCTCGGGGATGCGGACGGAAAGGGTGCTTGACACGGCTGTTAACTGTTGGTCAACGGCAAACGACCTGATCAAATACATGGTTCAAGGAGGCGTGGCTGAGTGTCGTCTGGAGACAAGGGACCATTAAACATCGCCAGTCTCGCCAGTACGCAGGAACATGAACTGCGCGCTGAGCGCTGTTGTGGCGGTGCACGGAGGAAGGGGGGGGGGGGGGGGAAGGGGCGATACCACTGCATCTCGATACCACAGACGATGCGCAGAAACATAAACTGTGCGCTGAGCGCTGTTGTAGCGCTGCACGGAGGAAAGGATATTTGGATCATTTAATACTTGAAAATCATTTCAGGGCTGTCTGTTATAGGTGACGTGTCTAATCCATTTCAGGGCTGTCTATTATAGTTGACGTGTCTAGTTCATTTCAGGGCTGTCTGTTATAGTTGACGTGTCTAGTCGGTTGAAGCAGGATCAAATCGTAATTTTGCCGTCTCATCGCAACTCTTCATCCAGCTGAACTCCGCATACGCATGAAGTCAAAGCTTAACGCCCTTTCTTCCCAGTGGGCCATGCAAGGCCACCCGAGTCATTTGATAACCTTCCTTGACCTGTATGCTGCACTTGATGCCTTCCATGTACGACGATGCTCTGTGCCCACCGCGAAATGTTACGCACAGTTTGGCTGTTTTTTATTTAGACTTGACGTTACGTGGTCTTCCAGATGCATGACGGGAGCGTCACCTTTAACATGCTGTAGTCGTGACGGGTCATGTAACAGCTCTGTGCGCTGACTAAAGCTGATAAGGTTCAACTCTAGACACCACCAAAACCACTAACACGACTGGTGTACACCTGCAGAAATGCATGGCGTATGGCCGATTTTCCACGCAGCCGTGCAGACCTGCGACGGAAGGGTCATGGTTGGGTGACCTGCCATGGTATGAGCCAGGAGTCGGAAGGCGAGTGTAAAAGGCTGGAAGCGTACCTGAGCAAAGTATGGTCGTAATTCACAGAACGGTTCGGTAGATACTGTCGAAAAACGGGAAGGGTGCAATAACAAGTCTAGGGAGAGGGGGAGGGGGGGACGAAACAGGGTTGGTCTAAATCTGGTTCAAAACGGCGGTTACTGTTGACCCTGGTCACCCTTCCCCCGCCTGTGCTAAACAAAATATTGCTCAAAACTACATATACTGCAATTACACATATGCCAAACTGCTGTGGCACAGTCCTCAAAGCTAAACAAAACAAAACTAGAAGCATGATGGGCGTATAAACGACATATTAACAGTGTATTGATTGACGCCCATTTCTCCATGCGTCCGCCGGGCACGCCTGACTGATTATGTAGTCTGCCCAACCAGTGTCGTATCTGAGGCGTTGGTTGTGCATGCTAACCTGTTAAACCAGCCCAGTCCCTTGAAAGATAGATAATTTATCGTCTGCACCTTGGAAGCGTTCCCAGACATGCTCTATCGAAACGTGACGTCATGCTGACAACACAAGAATGAACGGGGCTGCACGCCCTGTGTCGTCTGATCCGGAGAGCTTTACAGCTGGGTGTGGGCTTTTCGGACGATATCCGATGTATGATAATGATAACTCCAATCAACCGCGATATGTCGCAGAGCTATGACCTCCCGGACGGTGAGACGTATGCTTGCCTAGCTGTAAACTGCGATGTTGCAGTGGGCCCCAGTCATCTCGCCGTGGCCGAGCATTTGCACCTACGCGAGTGGCAGATACAGCCACGTGGACCTTGATAACTGTTATGTTGGCGTTTACAATATATATATATATATATATATATATATATATATATATATATATACACGGGCCTAAGCTCTATTTTACACGGGAAATGTGCCAAAGACTATGCTTCATGCTCAGGTGATATATGCATGTATGCATTTCGAGAACATCCCTGACATGTCCTTTGAGGGTCTAATCTACCAAGGTGTAGTTTGACCTAGCAAGGTCATGCTGTACGTTATGCGGCGTGACTGTTTACGTAGTTGGTGATTTAAAATGCACCGTTCTTATTTGATCTTAGTCCGGTGTGTCCTAGTCTGCCGGTGCCCTGGCTGAGGAGCGGTGATGGCGTGATCTCCACCCACCCGACTTGCACGCTCGGCCGGTTAATACACGAGTCTGCTGGCCTGCTGACCAAACACCGGCGGCCGGTCCGGGGCTGACCTGGCCCGTGCTGACCTGTTGACCTGCTGACTGGGCACCGGCAGCCGGTCCGGGGCTGACCCGTCTCATCCTGACTAGTCACCCCCCCCCCCCCCTCCGCCACGCTTTCGTGACTGATGGCAGTGGCTGGGCGGTGGTGCCCTGCGGTCTTGCCGAGGGGTGTGGAGGGGCCATCCTGGCGCCGAGGGCAGGCCCATCTAAATGTGATGTAGATGTGCCGTTTGTCATTCCCTGTGTGTAATATGCGTTGATGACGTGTTCTGCTGTTTGTGCCGACTGGAAGATTTAATCGAGAATGCTGGAAATGTTGTTTCGACAGCTTGCCGCTGTTTGGTTATATAGCAGTGTTACTAATCCGGCCAGGGCTTCAGTATTTCATTCAATTCTTTATTTATTCCTTCAGCGCTGTAACACGATCTGCCCACGCTACTCAGCTCAGCTCTTCTGATTGTGTGCTCCCCGCTCTGCAGGCCTTGCACGCCTGCAGTTTTCACACTTCCGGCCATCACGCGGGGCGCAGGATGGCCATGCCAGGCACGCCCCCGAGCTGCCGTAGCTCGCTGACCTTACCGTGCTCGGCAGGATGCTCGGGTGGCGAGCCGAAACCGGAACCGCTACCGTAGCCGCTCCCTGTCAGCGTCCTCCAACGACAGCTACAGTTCAGGTAAGCGGCCGTAGCCACTCCCTGTCAGCGTCCCCCAACGACAGCTACAGTTCAGGTAAGCGGCCGTAGCCGCTCCCTGTCAGCGTCCTCCAACGAGAGTTACAGTTCAGGTAAGCGGCCGTAGCCGCTCCCTGTCAGCGTCCTCCAACGACAGCTACAGTTCAGGTAAGCGGCCGTAGCCGCTCCCTGTCAGCGTCCTCCAACGACAGCTACAGTTTAGGTAAGCGGCCGTAGCCGCTCCCTGTCAGCGGCCCCCAGCGACAGCTACAGTTCAGGTAAGCGGCCGTAGCCGCTCCCTGTCAGCGTCCTCCAACGACAGCTACAGTTCAGGTAAGCGGCCGTTCAACGCCGCTCCGTTAACGCCGTTCAAGTTCTGCCATTTCATTGGCCACGCGCCAGTCAAGAACAAGAAAATGTAATCGCCGAGTCGCTCATATCTGGCGTTCGTAAGGACGATTTCAAGATATGACTGATCAATTTGCTCTCAATCAGTGTTTCAGGGTATGATGGCAATCAAGCAATGACGTTTTGAGGGGCATATTTACTTAACCGAGAAATGGTGCCGTCTAGAGCAGCCTTTTCCACCTAAAAGTATACAAGTAGTTACCAGTGAGCTTATTTCATCATATCTGGCGCTTGACGTGAAACATTTCCTTTAAATATCCATGATGCAAATCCAGTGTCGGTCGTTGGGCCTTGCGTGGAAAGTTTGTGGATTCGTTTCATGGTAACGGCTGTTGTGGGTGTCAAACTTCAAATGAGGGGTGCGCTGGACCGAGCTGATTCCATTTATTCAGGAAGAGGCCCACCGTTGGTACAAACCCGGCAGACGTGACTAACCTCACTCAGAATGCGCACTCAAAAGCAGCTTGCCCGTCCAGTCGGGTCATGTGGAAGAGCGTGCACGCCTAGCCACCATGTGTGGCGCACACGCAGGATCTCATCACAGTATAATCCTTTTGCGACTGTCACCCAGTGTGGTAACACGCGTCAGAGAACAGCGACGAGGACCGTGCAGCAATGACACGCAGCGGGAGGGCGCGGCGGCAAGCTGATGGATCTGACGGGATCTCGCTGGATCGAGTTCATCAAAGCACGCTGGGGCTGCGGGCGGCGGAAGTTGTCCAGATCCCATCGGAAGTTGAAGGTTTCCGGAGAATGCTGTACCGTGGCGTGGTACTCGTTGTGTCGATGGTTCAGCTAAAGAAGATAAAACGGGTAGCTAACGACCGAATCGCAGGCAGTCTAGTTGAGTTGTAGCTGCGATTTGTTGAAGCCGTTGGGTACTGTACCGAGGGTCTAGCGTTCTGTGGCGGCTCACGACGGTGCGACATAAGCACAGCCCGCGGGCGCAGTCAGATGCATGTATGTACCGAGAGCTATGCCCCTCCCTCCCCCCCCCCCCCCCCCCAGGTCTCAAGGGCATGCCGAAGTGACCATTTCGCGGTGGGGACTTTCATGACGCAGCGGCCCCGACTGAGCGCACTCCCACCACGCCCACAGCACTGATACGGCGCCCGATGAGCTGGGCAGCGCCTCCTGCGCACTTACCGTCTGACTAAGCTGAGAGCGCTACTTCAGTGACGATAGGCGCATACGATGTGCGCCTTTTGTAAATGCACGTAACTGCGGCGACCCAGGAAGGGGCTTTCACAGTAAGTAGGACGAACAAGTCGTGGTGATTCCGGTGGATTGCTGGTCATGACTTAAACAAAGACTGTATTTTCTATTTTCAAAACGTTATACGTTTGGCGCTGACCGACGCGCCACTATACGATACATAAGCGCGGACGATCTGGCCATGTCCCCTAACCTCAAGCGGCAGTGGCAGCTGTCACAGGCCGCGGCGGCGGCTGTCACTGGCCGCGCTGGCAGAGCAGGCTGGAGTTCTTGCTGAGGTCCTTAGGTAGGTCGAAGCGCGCCTCCTTGGCGGCCAGGTAGGCGGCGCCGAGCGCCAGTGACCCGGTCAGCTGCAGCAGGGTAAACGAGCTCTGGTGGGGCGTCACCTCGTCGACGAACGCCTGTCGCATCAGCGGCCACGAGTTGAACACGCCGCCGACGGCGACGATACGCAGGCCACCGGGCTGCCGCAGCAGCGCGGGCGCGGCGCGCGGCAGCAGCGCCACGATGAAGCGGCCCAGCCAGCGGCCGGCGTCGGCAAACAGCTGCCGACAGAGCGGATCGCCGGCCTTCGCCGCGCCCGCCAGGTGGCGGCACAGGCCGGCGAAGTGCGCCTTCGAGAAACTCGTGTAGGCGTGCTCCAGCAGGCCGAACCGGTCGCTGATCTCGAAGTAGTCGAAGATGCAGCGTCGCATCGTGTCTGAGCTGTGCGGCGGCGTACGCACGTGGTCCTCCTCCTCGATCAGCGCTTTGATGGCGCGGTAGGCGATCCACCAGGCGCTGGCCTTCTCGCCGAGCATGTAGGACCAGCCGCCGCAGCGGTGCACGCTGCCGTCCGGGTTGAGCAGCAGGCTGTTGGAGCCGGTACCGGAGATGAGGCACACGCCGCCGCCGTCCAGCGCCGTGGCCATGATGCCGGCCGTGTCGCTGCAGACGACGCAGCAGTCGGTGAGGCCCGGGTGCAGTGCCATCAGCCGGCCGCGCAGCTCGCGCACCGTCTCCTCCGCCTCGCATCCACTGGAGCTGATGCCCAGGCCGCGCAGACGCGTGTCGGTCGGCACGCCGGCGTCGCGTAGCGCGTCGTGCACCAGCTGGCGGAAGCGGCCGATCGTCTCGTCCAGGCCCTCCAGGTAGAGGTTGGTGCCGGGCCCGTGCGTCGTGCCCACCAGCGCGCCGCCGCCGTCCAGCACGTGCGCCACTGAGTGACTGCCGCCGCCCTCGATGCCGACGAAGTACGTGGAGCTGGAGGCCATGACTGCGCTCCGGAGGAGAGGGCCGAGCTCGTGCGCCGCCGACGGCCGCCAGACACTGCGGCCCGGCCGGCCGGGGCTCGACCGGCGCGCACCCAGCCACGTCACCCGGCCGCTGACGTCACCAGAGTCGGCGTCGAGAGCTGGGCGAGGGGCAGGGACTGGTGATTCACGGGAGCTCTGACCAGGGCACTGGTTTGGGATGTGTGGCTTACCCACAGGGGCGTATAGGAAGGGAGACGGGGGAGGGGAGGGGAACTGGCCCCGCTTTTTTGGCGATTGTTTGCTGTTTATCCATGATGCAGCGTGATGATGATGAAATGGTTTAACTGGAAGAAGAGTTTGTCTGTAGATCCTCTCCTCCCCTTTCCCTCGATGTTCCTACGTCTGTTGTCAGCGATGCCCACGGCGCTCATATAGCAAACCGGTGTGCTGCGCTCGTCTGTCTGATCTGCCGGGGTGCGGTATGCTCAGAATATGCCAGCCGCCGTCGCGTCTGATCCTTCGCTGCCTAAATTGACGGTTGATGTGGTGCTGTTGTGTACAGGCTAGTGACCTCATGTTCGCGCCATCTGTCCCCATCTGACACATACAGTATGCGTTTGAGATGTGATCTGTCGACCGCTATATTTAATTGCAAAGTGATCCAGACGTCCTGAATAGTTCAGCCTTCAAATGTTCGAGTATTTTGAGTGTTTTAAGATGCTGCATTTTTGTAATTAACAAATATTTGACAAAATGGTTCCGCTCGTTGCCTTAAAATGTTAGCCTGTCAAGGCACAAGACGTAGATATTGATGACGATGTGGAGATTACCAGCATTCCTAACTGTCACATCCCACTCAAGGCTGCCAACGTTTTTAGGCCGTCAATGCGTTATGATAACTTGACAATGCTGAACCCCATTTAATCAGGGATAAGAACATGTTGCAGTCGATTCGGCCCCAGCCGCAAGCACTCGTCAGCGATCGATACCGGCAGCGACAGCTCTTGCCCCACCCGTTATTTGTGGCCCTCTAAATCCACTGTGACGGCCGCTCAGCGCCGTTCGACTGCTTGGGGGTGGAAGGTGGGGAAGGGTGGTTATCAGAGGATCGAAGGTCCACGGGCGGGCGGATCAGAAGCGGCAGAGCCGGGCTGATGATGATTGCGATAGCGCCACAATCTCGGGGCGTGAAGCCATCTGTTTGCGAGTACTTTTGTCGGAAGGCTTCCCCCGCTAAGTGCACGAGCGTTATCGTTCCCGGCACTGCGCGGCTCCGCTGCCAGACTTCGGCGTGGCTTTCGCCCGTCCCTGTGGCGCTGCCGGAAGAGACCTCTCCTGGTGAACGCCGTTGTCTGATGCAATGCGGTGTGTCCCAGGCGAGCTCGTGGACTGGCGCCGGGGGGCGGTTCGGGGAATCCGCTAGCGGCGTCGCCGCGTGGCCCGCGCGCCGCCGCTAAAGCCACCCGCTGACAGGCGGTTCGTCCCAGGCGAGCTCGCGGGCTGGCGCCGGCGTGCGGTTGTCCCAGGCGAGCTCGTAGGGTGGCGCCGACGTGCGGTGCTTTCCGGGCGAGCTCGTGGGGTGGCGCCGACGTGCGGCACGTCCCAGGCGAGCTCGCAGACTGGCGCCGGGGGGCGGTTCGGGGAATCCGCTAGCGGCGTCGCCGCGTGGCCCGCGCGCCGCCGCTAAAGCCGCCCGCTGACGGGCGGGACGTGCCAGAGACGCGAGCTGTGCCTGCGACGAAGTGCCTCCTTAATAAAAGCGCGTGGCGCACTGTCACGCAGACGTGTAAAACTGAAGTGAAGGATTTCGTCGCTTAAAAATGACCATGCGATGCCCGTCAAAGTACAGCATCCTGTGGGACACCCCTAGACCTTCCGACGGAGTACAGGTCCTGAGCGGATTGGCCCGGTCAAGACTTGTCCCAAGTCGATTTTGTGGAGAACGAGACGGGAAAGGCGATTGTTAGCAGGGCCTTCTCCACACCAGCCGATGCAGGCCACGGAATTGTGGTGTTTAAACATGTGGTGCGAAGCACTTAATACTGTATCGGCTGCCGTGGTGTGGCCGTAAATGTTGCCGAAGTGGATTGCCACTATAATCATTACAGCATGTGAAGGTAAATTGTCATCCCATAAGGCACGCTGTTGAGGATAAAACTTGGCAGAAAGATGACACCGCCGAGAGCGGACGTCCGGCAGCCAGACACATGTGATGTGTGAGAGAGAGGCTGTGGCCTGAGGCAGAAATATGACGCCGCCGAGAGCGGACGTCCGGCAGCCAGACACATGTGATGTGTGAGAGAGAGGCTGTGGCCTGAGGCAGAAATATGACGCCGCCGAGAGCGGACGTCCGGCAGCCAGACACATGTGATGTGTGAGAGAGAGGCTGTGGCCTGAGGCAGAAAGATGTAGCTGGCGGAACGCGATACGTTGCTGAAGTTTTCTAGCTCTTGGGTCCAATATCTCTGAGGTTTTGAGCAGTCCGGAGAGGCGGACCGTGTCGATTATTGACGGACGAATCTGGCATCACCGGGGCACTTCACCAGCTGGTGCGGCCGGGGTTCACGTTTAGCCGCCGTACGTCTCGGGATCGGACTGCAAACAAGTATTGGATCAGAAAAATAAAACGAGGGTCGATGACTGCGCGGATAGAATGAAACAAGGCATCACCGATGAAGGAAGTGTTCTATCTTCCATACCCAGTGTGTTATTAATACTCGCCTGAACTGTCTGGATCCTCTGTCTGGATCCTCGGCTCCTATGTCTCGCGGTCCGGCTCTTCCGAGCGCGACCGTGCCGTCGTGTCGCCGTGCCCGCTGCCCCCGCCTCCGACGTGCCCGAGTAGCGCGGCCGGGTCCGGTCGATGCGTGCCGATCCCGGCACACGCACGGCCTTCGGTGGCCGCGCGCCGCTGATGGCCGCTAACGAGCGGCGGCCGCGACCCGCCAACGGAGGGTCCTGAATGTCCCGGTGGTCTCGGTGGTCCCAGTGGCCCCGGTGGTCCCGATGGTCCGAAGGTTCCGGTGGTTCCGGTGGTCCGAAGGTTCCGGTGGTTCCGGTGGTCCTGCTGGTCCCGAAGGTTCCGGTAGTACCGTTGACCGCTCCAGGACGCGGTTTGCTTGCCGGCCGGCGCGGGGTCTCCCAGCGCCTCGTGCTGCGGCGGCGCCCGGCGATGACGGCGTCCGGCGTCGGCAGATCTGTTTGGTTTGGGTGAAGCCGTCTCGGCGGTGACTGGGCACTCCGGAGCTTTAAGACTGAGGACTGGTGTAGATGGCGGGGTATTACCGCGGCCATCCTGGGCCGCCCCCGATACAGAGACCCACCCCACACAGTGAAGCCAGTCAGGGCTGCACTGGTGCTCTGGCGTAGCCCTAACCGCAGCGGCTGAGAGGTGAGCTCCCGGCTGCTGACCACAGCGGCTAGGAGGTGAGCTCCCGGCTGCTGACCACAGCGTGTGGGAGGTGAGCTCCCGGCTGCTGACCACAGCGACTGGGAGGTGAGCTCCCGGCTGCTGACCACAGCGGCTAGGAGGTGAGCTCCCGGCTGCTGACCACAGCGTGTGGGAGGTGAGCTCCCGGCTGCTGACCACAGCGACTGGGAGGTGGGCTCCCGGCCGCTGACCGCAGCGACCCTTGGTGAGTCGCTACGCTATGAGGATGCAGAGGGACGCGACTGCCGAGGAATGGGGGGGGGGGGGGGGGCGGCTGCTGGTCAGAGCGCGGGTCGTTAGTCCGCCGCCGGCCGGTCCTCTGAAGGGATGGGAAGATGCCTGCCTGCCAGAGGAGGTCTGAGCGACAGGGAAGCTGTCCGCCGGAGGACGTCTGAGTGACGGACGTCTGGGTGGATGGCTTGTTTGTGTCGTTAACAAGGAGGAGAGTGCAGCTTGTTGTCCGAGGTCGCCCGTACTTCGCTATCTTATCTTACTGGGGGTGGGTAGCTGGGGCAGTACGGAGAACAGACGGCGTGATTCGCAGTTGTGTTATGGGCACGAACATGAAAGCCCGTGTAACTGAAGACATGTTCAGAATGCCTGCGTGTAACTGAACTTCGGTAACGGCAAAGCACTTGCTTAATTTCTCCAATGACCTCTCTTTTCCGTACTTGTGTCGCCTTACTGTGGACCCGCTATGCACATGGCATGTGCATGTATATGTGAGGGCGCAGGGCGAACCAACATTACTTTAATGATTTTCCTTTTGAGCAGTCTCGTCCTGGCCGGGATATATTCCAAAGGAACAGCATGATTTTTGCACGAAGTGTCGATCGTGGCATTACGCTGTTCCCGCCAGCAAGAAACGCATTTGGTGAAATTTTTGCGGCATGGGCTTTGATGCATTATCGTACAAGTTATAGGATCATGCGCGATTTCTCCGCAACGTCGCATTGGGAGCCAAATGGAGTCATTACCATTCGGTCAAGATAAAAACTCAGGGGTTCCTAATTTTGAAAAGTCGGCACAGCGCCCTCATTTCGAAAAATCAGCACAGTATGTATGGGGACTGGAAACGAAGCTCAACGACGCAGCGTTACCAACACCCTGCAGGAGCACCGGCTTCGGCCGGTGTAGGGCACTAGCGCCCCCTCAGGTTCCAGCTCCGGTAATGGGTGGACAGCGCAAGCTGATCATTTCAGGGCGTAGCGACCCTACCGGTACGTGAGCCCCAGCTCCTTGTCCCGCGTACTCCCTCCCCACTATCCGTATTCCCGCCTCCGGCCCTCTCACCATTCCTCATCCTTGTTTTATCGGCGTTGCCGTGCCCCCTCGTCCGCGTCCCCGGGTTAATCGAATCCTGGTGGCTGAGGGGCGCGTCGTGCGGTCAGTCACAGCGCGTCCCAGCACTCCACTTTGGCTGGAGTATCCGGGGTGCGGGGGCCCGTGGGGTCCCATACGGGTCCAGCGGCTTGTCGCTCGCGCTGCGGCTGGGTGCCCCGTGCGGGTCTCCGCTTGGGGCGCCTCGCCGCGCGCAGCTGCCTAAGGGGTCAAAGGGACGTCGGCGCTGAACCACGGTGAAGACTGGGAGGAGTCTCCCAGGTTACACCTGGCCGTGTGGGAGGCGTTGTTCGCCCCGTATAGCACCGGGTTAGCCCTGGCGGCAACCACCTCCCGAGAGAGTGTTGGA